CGAAGAACACCCAAATGATGGCAACCAAGATGACGAAAGGCCTTGGTTTCCTGCCATTTGTGGCTTGGTTTAAGGACCTGGGCATGTTCGCTCTGGTAGGAAAAAACTTAAACTAAGGGGGTGGCAAGGGAAAGAGCACTTAATTTGAGATCATCAGACCTGAGTTCAAGTCCTAGCTCTCTGTCCTCTCCTTCCTGTATGACCTTAGATAAGCCTGGGCCTCAGTTTTCTCATCTGTAAAATGAGAGGGTTTTATTAAATTACCTCTGAGGTCCCTTCCAGCTCTACACCTACAGTCTTATGGCCCTGGAACAATTACCAAAGCTGGTCCCAGCAGGGCCCGTGCTTAGAAACGCTGTCCTTTCGGGTCCTGTCACTAGTGGGGCAGCAGCGCATCTTGTGATTCCTTCTTTTCTCTAGTTCAGCCCGAACTCCTCCTCCAGCCAACACCTTTATTCTGGATTAGTAAGGTTTTGCTTTTTCCTGATTGTATCTATCTGCTCCTGAGCCATATTATTTCCCAGTGGTATCCCTGGTCTCTTCTCTCTGATCTTCTCCTAACAACCCCATTTTATTTTTTCATTTCTATGGTATCTATTTCTGAAAAAAAGTTAATTAATATATAATATTAATTTGTATATGAAGACTGAGCTATATAATACCACATAATTGTTTCATCCCCAAAATCTCCAGTATGTTAGGCCAGTGGTAGTTGTTTCTGTGTTCACTATGACAGGCCCCTGGGATAATATAGAGTCCACAAATCCATATAAACACCAAGCATTGCCATTTTAAGCCTTATTTAACTCCAACAAAATGTATACCTCAGCACAGCAAAATTTAAAAAAAGCACATATACCTCCTGTAGGCTAAATAAAAAAAGTCTATTTTTCAAATGTATAGGCAGCTAGGCTGCTCAGTGGATAGAGCCTGGGCTTGGAGTCAGGAAGATCTGAGTTCAAATGTGGCCCTGAGTAATCACTCAACCTCTGTCTATCTTAGTCCACCAGAGAAGGAAATGGAAAACCTCTCCAGTATATTTGCCATGAAAACCACGAATCAGGTAACAAAGAGTTGGATAGGACTGAACAACAACAATAAAAATTTTCAAATGTATATAGATGCCATTGTGATTCATAAAATACAGTATACCCAGCTCTAGTCTCTCTCCCAGGCTTTGGTCCTGAATTATCAATCGCCACCTGGATGTCCCCAGGGCATCTCAAGCTCAACACATCCATGATCTCCTCAGATCAAGCCCACCCCACCTCCAAACTTGCTGGCTCACCATCTCAGAGCCATGCCCCTAATGCATCTAATCATTTGCCAATTCCTCTGCCAACACCACATCTTTCTGCCTACATACACAGCCACTACTCTAGTTAGGGCACCCATCACCCTCAACTGGACACTGCTAATTGGTTTCTGTTTCTAGGATCTTTTCTCTCCAACCTGTCTTCTACACATCTGTGCAAATACTTTTCTTAGAGCACACAGGTCTAATCATCTCACATTCCTTCTCAAGAATCTTCAGTGGCTCACTCCTGCTTCTTTAATCAAATATAAAGTCTTCCGCTTAGCATCAAAGGCCCTTCATGATCTGGCTCTAGCCTCCTTTATCAGACTTTTTCCCAATACTACCCTTTGCATATTCCATGTTCCTACCAAATTGGCCTCCTTGGTATTTCCTAATAACAGAATTTTACTTCCTACCTCCCTTTTTGTGTTCAGTCTGTCCTGTATGTCTAGAACCCACTTCCTCCTTACCCTCACCTATCATTCAATCAATCAAGCCACAAGCATTTATTTAGTAGCTACTATTATATCTCAGGGGCAGCTAAGTGGTACAATGGGTAAAGTCCAAGGCCTAAAGTCAGGAAAATTCATCTTTCTGAGTCCAGATCTGGACTCAGATACTCACTAGCTATATGACCCTGGGCAAGTGACTCATCCCTATTTGCTTCAGTTCCTCATCTGTAAAATGAACTGGAGAAAGAAACAGCAAACCACTCCAATATCTTTGCCAAGAAAACCTCAGATGGAGTCATGAAGAATCAGACAAAACTGAACAACAATTATGTCCCAGACACTCTGCTAGGCACTGCCTTCAAGGAAATTACATTTTACTGGAGGGCTATATACAACATATACACAGACAGGTAAACACAAGATACACAAAAGAACTACAAAGTAATAGAAAGGCAGTGAGTATGGCTCAGCCCCAATTAGAATATAAATAAGAAATATTTAACAAAATAGAATATAATACAGTAGAACATAGATAATATCACATTTTAAAATTAAATCAATATGCTGCCTGCAGGGATCCTTATGTATACAGAATGCTAGCAGCCAGGAGAATCTGGACTGCCACATATACTGAGCTTTGAAGGTAGCTAGGAGTTCCAAGGGCAGATGTGAAGAATGTTCCAGGCATGAGAAATGGTCTCTTTAAAAGCATGAAGCCAAGGAATGGAATGTCACATATAGCCCAGACATCCAACATGCCACCCACAACAGTCCTGAGTGTGGCCGGCCCAATTAGAATATAAATGAGAAATATTTAGCAAGATAGATAAAATATAATGGAACATAGATAATATCACATTTTAAAATTAAATCAATATGTTGCCTGCAGGGATCCTTATGTATAGATTAACGGCTTCTGTTTCTAATTGAGTTTGACATCACTGGTGTACAGAGAGAAGAAAGTAGGCCAGGTCATGTGAAAAGTAGAGAGGACATGCTTTGGGTCGAGAGGTGATGGGTTAGAGGTATTGATCAAGATGCATTTTCATTATCTTGATTTGTTTTGGCTAATAATAATAGTGATAATGATAATTGTTGTTGTTCCTATTTCAGTCTTCTTGGCAAAGATACTGGAATGGTTTGCCATTTTCATCTCCAGTGTATCCCCATTTTACAGATGAGGAAGTAAGATAAATAGGGTTAAGTGACTGGCCCAGGGTCCCACAGCCACTAAGTTTCTGAGGCCAAATTTGAACTCAGATCTGACTGACTCGAGGCCCAGTGCTCTACCCACTGTACCATCTAGCTGCTCCTGATAATGATAATAGCTAACATTTATATAACACTTTAAGGTTTGCAGAGAATTTTAAAAGTATTGTCTCATTTTTTCCTCACCACAATCTTGGGAGGTAATTGCTATTATAATCCCCATTTTACAGATGAGGAAACTGAGATAGAGAATGGTTAAGTGATTTACCTAGGGTCCCACTGCTAGTAAATGTCTGAAGCTCAATTTGAACTTGCTTTCCTGATTCTAGGTCCTGCACTCTATTCATTACTCTACCTAACTGCTAACTGTATGTATTTTTTATTCTACTTGGAGGGGCAAGAAAGTTGGATTGTTTGTGAGTGCAAGATATGAGGGAAGGAAAGGGAAAGGAAGGGAATAAGCATTTATATAGTGTCTGCTATGTACCAGGCATTTTGCTAAATGCTTTATGAATATTATCTCATCTGATCTTTACAACAACTCTGTGAGGTAGATGCTGTTATTATCCCCATTTTACAGTTGAAAAAACTGAAACAAATCAAGTATATGTGACTTGCCCAGGGTCACACAACCAGTACATGTCTGAGGCCAGATTTGAACTCAGGTCTTCCTTACTCCAGGCCCATATTCCCTGCATTACCCCAGCCAGGGATCAAAAATAGAGCAGTATGTTATTCCCCAGATAAGTATAGATATATGTATATGCACACACATGCATATGTGTATATATATTTACATATATATTTAAATATATATTTAAACAAAGTATAACACATGGTAAAAGTTAAAGTTCTTTTCTTGTAGGGTCTTATTAATTCTTTAAGGCTTGAGAAATGTGTGATTGTTGTTTGTTTTTTTAAAAAGAAATTAAAGAAAAAAATTTGAAGAAAGACTACATAATATGGAATAATGAATAATCATCTGAGGAAGAGAGGCTGGAACCAGACTGTGGAGGGTAAAGCATTTTTTTCCTCATGACAATCCCAGGAGTAGTTGCTATTGTAATCCCCATTTTACAAATAAGGAAACCGAGACAGAGAGCAGTTACATAACTTGCCCAGGGTCCCACAGCTAGTAAGTGTCTGAAACCGAACTAGAACTGCCAGAGAAGTTTGTATTTTATCCTAGAAGCATCAGACAGACACTGACATTTCTTGAGCAGGGAGTGATATAACCATACCTGTGACTTAAGATTCCAGAACCATGTAGATTCTATACACTATAGAGGATGTGTTCTTAGAGCTCTGTTAGAAAGTTACTGCAACAGTCCAAGCAAGAGAGGATAAGGGCTTGAACATAGGATAGTTCCTTAGTTCTCGTCATGCTACAACTCAGGTTCTGTCTCTTGCATTAAAATCTTTCTTGACCCCTAGTTGTTAGGGTTTGTTCCCTCTTCAAACCATCTTGTATTTACTTATAGACCCTTAGGACAAAACACCAGGCCTGGAGTCATAAAGACATGAGTTCAAAACTGGTCTCAAACACTTACTAGCTGTGTGATCCTGGGCAAGTCACTTAATCTCTGTCTGCCTCAGTTTCTTCAACTGTAAAATGGAGATAATGATAGCACCTACCTCCCAGGGTTGTTGTGAGGATCAAAGAAGACTGGTACTTAATAAAGACTTGTCCTCTTCTCCCCTCTTCCCTAAGCCATGCTGCCTTCTCCCTAATCTGGCCATTCAAGGCTATTATCACCTTTCCTATTGCCCCGCAAACCAGAGCTTTATGTAATAGTATTAGAGCAGGAAAGAAATATAATGGCCAAAGGAAAAACTACAGTTGAGAAATTGCCACAACTTTCACTTAGTTGGGGAATTTTTAATCTAGCAGCCAGGAAGGGCAAGGATCAATTTCATGCCAAATAACAAGACGTTGTAGGTTCCCATTTAACATTATATGTCTTTTTACATATAGAGAGAAAAGCAGAAAGGCCAGAGAAAAGAAAACACAGTTTAGAACAAAAGAGGACATCCATCCTCACCCGCTCCCCATTATTTTCCTTGGCTTCTCCCAGTTTTGCTGTGGCTAGTTCAGTCTGCTCTGTTCTCATAAAAGCATTTTTGACTCTCTCTAGAGAACCATAGGTATAGCCTCCATTTTGCATCAGCAGAGGGCCCTGTGGGAGGTGCTGCAGTGTGCTGTCTTCTTGGTTATCACAAAGAGGTGCTTCAGGGATGCTGCACAAGTGTATGATGAGACAGGTGGTAAACACCAGAGCCGAGAAGAAGAACATGACCTGAAATTCTGTGCCCAGCAATCTTCCCAGTTCCAAATGTCCCCAGTCTATCGCACCCAAAAGGTAACCTAGAGCACCTCCAAAACCTGGGGAAGAAAAAGAAGAAATATCATGATGATATTAATAATACATCTGTATTCACTTTCCATTAGGTCTTACTCATCTCTCCATAATATTCAACATTCACTGAGAGTAGTAGCAGTGGTTTGAACACATAAAGAATTGTAGTGGGGAGAGCAAAATCCTGGATTCTAGGTGCAACTCTCTCATTAAGTAGCTTTGTGACCTTGGGCAAGTCACTACTCATCCTTGAGCCTCCATTTCCTAGTCTGTAAAATGTGGAAGATGGACCAGATAAATTCTCAGGTTCATTCCCAGCCTAGGATTCTGTGATTCTGTGATAAGACAACTTGTAAGATCCACTCAGGTTCTGATTTTAGTGATTATATCTGTTGCTCAGCATTAAATTCAATTCAACAAATATTTATTGAGGATCAATTGATTTCCAAGAAAAATGCAAATACATTCCTTCCTCTCCACCTCCAAACCCCATCTCAACACATGGCAGAGACTACCTTCCTTCTGTTCCTCCAAAAAAATGGAGTGGAGGAAATGTTAGACATATTACCATATTACTTTCATTGCATTATAGAGAAACATCAGAGTCAAATACTAATAACCACTGGCATTTACATAATGCTTCCCTTTCCAGGTATTATGTCATTTGATCCCCATAACTATCCTGTGAGGTAGGTGCTATTAAATGTAATACTTTTAACATCCCTACCATCACAAGAAAAAAAATGGAAGCAAAGGATGATGGTCCCTTCTTCCTTCAGAAGATACCCATTCTCCACTGAAGAAGAACAAACTCAGGCTATCCCCTAAGCTTTTCAAGATATCATTTATCTTAAGAGATAAGTTTCTTCATTTAATCTCAATAACAATGCAATCAGCTCTAGCTGTCAGGCAAGAATTTATACAATGAAGCAAGCCCAAGTAATACAAAGCAAACAGATATCCATTGAATGACATATGTTTGTCCTGGACAATATATGCCTGAAAAGGTTCGTCTGATCTCTGCCTTACAACCCATCTCTATATAAGCTGTTAAATTTATATTCCTAAAGCAATGGGTTTGAACAAGTCACTTCCTTGCTCAAAAGGCTCTGAGTAGTTCTCTCTTGCTGGTTAAATTACAAACTCCACTGCTCGACATTTAAAGAGTTTCAGCTTCAATCTATATTTCTTGGTTTATTACATATTACTCCCCCATCAAGCACCCCATATTCTAGCCTAATTGGTCTACCTGCTTTTCCCCAGTGTATGACATTCCATCTCATGCTGTCTCCCATGCTCAGAATGTTGTCTCTTCTCTCTCTCTCTCTCTCTCTCTCTCTCTCTCTCTCTCTCTCTCTCTCTCTCTCTCTCTCTCTCTTTCTCCCTTTCCCTCTCTCTTTCTCTCCCTCCCCTCCACCTGCCTCTTGGAAGCCGTAGCTTCATTCAAGTCTCAGCTCAAGAACAATTTCCTATGTGAAGGATCTTGATCCCTTTAATTTAGTGTTCTCATTGCCCACATCAAAAATACTTTGTATGCATTTCTATTTACTTATATGTGTACCTGTTGTTTACTCCCAGGAGAATGCAAGACACCTTGAAGGTCAAGACTTCCTTCACTTTTGTCTTTATATTCTGGGCAAAATGCCTTAGACACACAGTAGGTGCTTAATAAATGCTTGAATTGAATTGGATATAATAGGGACTCATATTATTGAGGTCAGATTTGGGAGAGAGGTTTGGGTGTGAAAGAATTCACTTAGACAATTTTCTCTTAAACAATGGGATGCTTTATTAAGAGAAAACTTCACAGTCCTGAGATAAGCAAGAAGTTAATGAAAGGCCCTAATATTTGGAAGAATCAGGCTTATATAAACAGAAAGCTATACATCCTGTAAGATGATGATGTAATTTTAGAATTTCTAATGGGGGTTGAAGATTAGGGTCAGGCTGAGGAAAATAGTTGCTTACAAGAAAAGGGATAATTGTCATGACACAAGATGAGGAAGATGGATGACAGAATAGGGGACGCAGGATAAGGAAAACAGGGGAAATTTTATGACTCAGGATGAGGGAGACAAGGAATTTTATGGTCCAGGAAAAGGGGAAGTTTTATGTTATCTCAAGAAAAGGGGAAGAGACTTTAGGATGCCCTCTAGCTCAGGAGGGGCCTCACAAGGTACTATAAAAGCAACCCTTAATATTCTGCTTAACCCCTAGGGTACCATTTGTATCCACATCAATCTCATCTGCCTAATGCAATAAATAGTGAGAAGGAATATACTGCATGTATTCTCTTGATTGGTCCTGGGTTTTTACCCCCAGGAGTCATTTTTCTAATATAAGTATTTGCATAAATGTTACTATTCTTAGTTGAGTAGAAGGCCTTGAACTTTCAGGTTTTTTTAAAAATTAGCCTACATCATATATTATGTTCTTTGAAGGTAAATGAGGCTTTTTGGTTAGGAAACATATTTTTGCTCAGATTTGTTTTTCATGTCTTCAACTAAACTGAGATGGATTCAAAGATGCTTCAAGTGCTATATGATGAAATTTGTTTTAAAATATCAACTGGAGCTATGTATGTTACTGTGAAACAATATTAATTTGCTTAATTTTTTAGCTTGTACTCCCTGGCATCAGAAAAATTTTGTATATTGTTACAGTTTCAGGTTATTAATATTTGATGTGTTGTAAAACTCAAATACTCCTGTGCTGTACCTTTAAAGGACCAAATAAAGATAACTGAATGCTTCCTAGAAAAAGGGGGAGGACAAGGAGGAGGAGGAAGAAGAAGAAGAAAAAGAAGAAGAAGAAGAAGAAGAAGAAGAAGAGGAAGAAGAATGAGACTTCCTTCCTTGTTACTTTAGTTTAGGATTTAGAAAAGACTATGTTTCCTTGTCCCAAGTAGGCCTGATTCCAGGGTGGTATGTGGCTGTCTGTGGTTTGGTTCCCTTCTAGTTAATAGGATTGATAAAAGCTTTCATTTTGCATTGGAGCCACACATTTCATCAAAAGCTGAAATTGCTTATTATTGTGCATGTGTAATACTTTGCAAAAAAAATAACAACTTTTAATGCTCATGATGGCCCTGGGAACTTGAAAAGCAAGGTGTTATAGAAGAAAGAACACTAGATCAGGATTCAGAGGATCAGTGTTCAAGTATTCACTTTCCTACTGACTATCTAGGTGACCACTAGGCAATAAAAATAGTAACTGCCTCCTCCATCTTGGTCTCAAGTTTGCAAGGGGTAATATGACATAACAGATGGAGGGCTGCCTCTATCCAACAGGAAGACCTGTTTCTGACACCAGGCTCTGTGACCCTGGGGAAGTCAGTTAACTTTTCAGTACCGGCCAGCAACTCTCCAAGACTCTAAATCACAAAGCAGTCACCCATCTATGTTGGTGGAGAGAGATTTGTCACCCAGAGTTCTTTATACCAGTGAAATCAAAAGACTAGTCCCCAGCGTACAAGGTTACTGTACTAGGTGCTGAGAATATCAATATGAAAAACAAATTTGCCATCAAACATCTGGATTCTAGTGCTTGTTCTGTTACAGACTTACTGCATGACCTTTGGCAAGTCTCTCTGGCCTCAGTTTTCCAATTTATAAAATGAAGAACAACAGACTAGATGATCTCCAAGGAGCCACCCAGCCCCACAGTCCTGTGATAGGAGCATTGTTGTCATTTGAGTAAGAAAAGAATGGAGGCTTGAAGAGACTGAGCATCATGCCCTGGGTCACTCAAAAAGAAGCAAGAGGGGGAAGTCCTTTCTTTTTCTTTTCTTTCTTTTTTTCTGTTTTTTTTTCTCTACCCACATCTTCTTAGAGCAGGGAAAGTAAAAATTAACGTTCTCTGCAAAGACTTGAAACAGAAGTCGATTGTAAAATGAAAGCACCCACAAAGCATAAAGAATTATTCAACTGACTAGGAAAGATTAAAGGCTAAGATACCTAAGGCTTCAATAGAGAGTCTTTTTCACTTACGTGTCTGGTCTGGTCAAAGCAGTCAATCTCTAGACCTCAGGTCTAAGGCTCTTTTTAAAAGTTCTTATTTATTTCTTAGTTAAAGATTTGACTACATTTTTAATACTTGGATCCAAAAATATGAATACATAAAATGTTAGAATTAGAATGGACCTTAGAGTTTATCTAGTCCAATCTATTCATTTTAAAGATTGGAAAACTGAAGCCAAGAGGTTAAAAGACTTGGCAAAGGTCACAAAGTGGGTTTATGGCAGGACCAATACCAGAATGCAGGTGTCAGATCATAAACTCTTTAAGGTTCTTAATCTATACTCTGTACTACAACACCTACCACATTACCTTGTATATAGGAGGCACTTAATGAATGTTTATTGAATTGAAGTGATAACAGGGAAGTGGCCTGGTCTCAGGAATGTAAGCAATAGTCAAGAAATAAAGAAATTCATAGATACTTAGAGAAAACCATAACTAACACAGAATTGCACTTGTTACCAAGCTAAGAAAACCTACAGGTCAGATAGCCAGCATCAGAATTGTACATGATGCTAGAAAATAAGAGCCGGAACGCTTCCATTCAATGTGATGAGGTATGGAATTGGGGTAGGGAGTGGCAGCTGCTAAGATTACAATTCTAGCTGTACCACTCAGTAACTCTCTCACTGGATGCCTAGATGCCTTCCTGTGATCTCTCTGTCTGTCACTCTACATGTCCCTCTGTCTCACTATGTCTCTATCTATGTCTGTGTATGTGTGTGTTTCTATTTCTCTGTGTCTCTTCTGCTTCTCTTTCTGTCTCTGTTTATCTGTCTCTTTCTGTGTCTCTTTCCCTCTCTGTGTCTCTCTTTCTGTTTCTCCACTTCTCTCCATTTCTCTGTCTCTCTGTGTCCCTCTATGTCTCTTTGTGTATCTCTCTGTGTGTCTCTTTGTGTCTCTCTGTTTCTGTGTGTGTTTGTATGTCTCTCTCTTTCTCTGTCTGACTTTCTTTGTGTCTCTCTCTATGTGTATCTCTCTCTATCTCTCTCTCTACTTTTCTCTCT